CCGAACAAGACTCTTTACTCGAAATTTCCAAGACACGACAAGTACTTTTGGACTACGCCCAAGATCATGAACACGCAACAGATACGCCAAATACTCTTCGCTGACCACATTGTCCGCCGAACACATCTAGTAGACGTATTGGCTAGTGATCAACTACCTATACATTTCAACCTTCACAAGACAGCGGCGTTTGTCGTCAATACGGATGGTAGCGACCAGCCGGGTTCGCATTGGCTTGGTCTGTACTACGATGGCGTCGGGCGTTTTGCCTATTTTGACGCCCTCGGGCTCCCGCCCTTCCACGCCGAAATTATAAGATTCATCGAGCGCCACTCGACCAGACCCTTCAGTTACAACCCTCGTACCTTACAAGACTTACAGAGCTGTACTTGTGGACTATACGTTATTTATTTTATTCTGATTAAATGCCGCGGTGGTCGCCTGCGCAAAGTTTTACAGCCGTTTTCGTCTTCGTATAGACAATACGTCAACAACCGAATCATTTGGCGCCTCGTTTCGCCCTTAATCATCAAAACAAGTCCGGACATGTCGAGTTTAACCCGGCTCTACAAGCTCACTGTGGGTATATAAACAGCCTGAGCACCAACCGTCTTCGTATTGCCGCCGTTATCCGCTAACCGAAGATGTCTACAGTCCCGACCAGTTGGATGTATATGACTAGAAGCGACGAGGTGGTGAAACCTTTGGTCGCTGGTTTGAACGTTGTTTCAGTCTCGCTTTATACAAGAACACCCGCACCCCACTTGAGACGTTTCTTTGGTAAAGCAGATCTCAAATTTCCCACCAAAACTGGACTGACACTAAGTCGCCTAGAATTTGAACAACTACTTCAGCTAAAGACAGAGATCCTGATAGAGTTTGATCGACTGGAGCTGTTAACTGTTCCTTGTTACCCGCCTACACCTAGGTTCACAGAACCCTACGCTGACGAGAACAGCACCAACACGGACGAATATATACCGGATCATGTCATCCGACACATTGAGACTGTCGAGAACAACCGACCTGCTGCCTCTATATATGACTCGGTTCCTTGGCCACTCGCAAAGAGAAAATGTCTACGCCAACTTTTAATTTTATGAATAAAAGAAATATATAAACGCAAAAATATTGTTGTGTTGCTATTTTTGTCTTAGTTATAAATATGGTATAGTTGTTATGTATGTATCCACCTTATACAGGTACAGCCAGCTATCCACAGCTATCTATTAGTCTCTAATTTATGAAACAGAAAGTAACCAAGAATGGTTTAACGTTACTAAATAAAGGACAGTTTACGACGACGCGGGTGATGATGATGGCGCCCAAGACCCACTTTCTCCCTACCATCAAACCACCTTCCTAGGTTTCTGTATCTATCCCCTAAAACGACCCCGCGGGCGTGCGTGCGTACCCGTTGAGCGACACCAACTGCCGAGTTTTCCTAAACCGACTGCTCCAGCAGAATAACCACTGAAACACAGCTGACCAATCAGAACCTTCGCCCACTTATTTATAAAGCCAGATGGTCTGCCAAATATGCCCCTTCTCTTCGGCCCTCAACAGTATTACCAGACACCCAGTATTCTGTCGTACATTCTCCTTTTTTACTACAAATCAAACCATTCCTGAGCGATCGACTTTCGATCCCATGACACAGATGATGATGATGATGGTTCTCGAGCCGCCCTTTCTAATATAGCCTCGGTCATCCCGCCGCCTTCCTAGTTTTCTTTATCGCATGTCTAAAACAGCTCCCCTCATACAATCACATATACAGACACCCACATAAACCCGGTCCCCTACCCCACCCTCCCCGCTGCTCACCTAAATAGTGTTCCTGGCCACCTGTCGTCTGCAGTTATTAAGATAATAATACACCTACAAAGTATCGATTTCCTAGGGCGCTTTGTATTAGGTTTTCTAATATCCGCCATTTTAACCAACATCTGGCCCTGCACTAACGAAATATCGATTTGTCTTCCTTAAACCACTCCGCCCAAAAATACCCACACCCCAACATACCGACAATGAATAACCAGTTGCTATGGAGACAACATATCGATTTATGCACCATATGTCTTTCCCCTAAAACCAATCACTTGTGCCATCACCAACCGCCCGATCGATATTTACTAAGGACAAAGAGGGCGGGTGTCCCGATCGATATTTACTAAGGATAAAGAGGGCGGGTGCTAACCCGATGGAAAGAACCAATCACTTTTGGCCGCCATCTTTTACTAAGGATAAAGAGAGATCGATTTCTCAAATGCGCGCTCTATTACCGCCTCCTACTACTGTCGATTTCCTTGCCGATTCTCTTGCCGATATGCATATTTTTGACTAAAAAAAACGGAATGCTATGAAGAAGAATAATACTAAACACTTGCCGTATCCATGCTGTGTGACGTTGGTAGCCAAGTTAGCCACAACCTTCTGTCTCGCGTGCTTTTAATCAACACAGATATTCCTCTATGCCATGATGTTAAACTGTCCCAGCATCTTATTTTTTTTGGTCTTAGTCTCCCCCTGCCTTTCCTTCCCTCCAACTTTCCTGCTGTCACGATGTACTCCAGTTTTTTCCTTCTCACCACAGAATGTAGATTGTCTCTGTCTGATTTGGATAATCAGTTCTCTTTGTGACTCCGTTTCTTTCCAGAAGTCTTTATTACTATTTGTATATGTCCAGGGTATTCTCATCATTAGTCAATAGAACCACAGCTTCCCAAAATATCACCAATCTCTATAATACAGTCAGGAACCATTTTAATATTGGAGTGGAGCACGCCCCAGTGTTTGTAATTAATATTTAGTTGTGAATATTATTTTTTTTCAATAACAAATTAGTTTTATTACATTA